GGGGGGGCAGAGACGTGCTACGGGGTAAGTGCAAGGGGGGAGGGGAGGAGGGGTGAAAGGGGCAATCGCTAGGGGTGTCTGTATATCTGCTGGGAAGGGGAAGAGAAAGGGATGGGAACAACTGCTAAAGTAATTCTCTCAACTTCGTCAGTTCGAGCAGAACGTCTGTTTGGCAAAGAGAAAGAAAAAAAGAGCGCACTGACAATGCAAATATAAGAGGGTATTTTTTTTCTATCGACACAATTAAGATCATTTTAGGAAATTCTCGGGTAGCGAAGTGACGACCTCCAACTCCAACCACCTGCCTCTTGGGGCCGACAACAGTGCCTAAGGGACGTACAAAGGTGATGAATGGGGTGGGTCGGAAGAATGGATCGGATGGGGATGCGTTTGAGATGGCGTAGGGGAGAGGAGGGCCAATAACTGCTCGAGGTGATTAACTCAACTTAAGCCGGTCAAGAATAAACGGACGAGCCCATAAAGTCAGACTCCGTCCATAAATAAAATATGAACTAGACTAGAAAGACCGAAAGAAACCAGATAATGTACTCTTTTAATGGCTCACATTTGTTTTGTAAATTCATCGGGCGCATATGTAATGCCAGTCATAGCCGTACAACCGGCGCGTTATATAGACTGGCACATTGTCATTAGAACATAAGAAATATTGATTGCCAGTTCCGAGAAATCACATGGGGTTGGGTGGAAGGGGGTGGGGGGGCTGAACCATATAATATATATAAAACGTGTGTGTGCGTACCTGTGTGTGTGTGTGTATGTGTGTGTGTGTGTGTGTGTGTGTGTGTGTGTGTGTGGGGGGGGGGGGGGAAATAACTACCGGTATTCCGATCTAAGATAGACAGAAGGAAGACACACAAGAGGAAGGAAGACACAAGTCTCTGTGATACATTGCTGCTCACGCGCATCCGGCTGATTCACGTGCTGTTAGCACTTTACTCACATTGCAGGCGGGTCCTGAGAGGGTTTGTCTCTGTTTACTCTGGGACGGAGGCGGCGTCTCTGTCTCTGTATCTGTCTCTGCCTAACTTACTCTCTCTTACTCTCTCTCTCTCTCTC